AATATTTTGGGTACTGTTAAAACACGATGGTTATCTTTGTTACCAGCTGTTACTAGAATTTTAGATTTATTTCCACCATTAAAAACGTATTTTCTAAATCAAGATAAATGTCCTACAATTTTGAAACAGTTTTTCGATAACCCTGTTTCTATTGCATGGTTGTATTTTATTCAAAGTCAATTGAAGGTATAGTTTGCGACACAATAACGATAATTGAAAGCGATAATATTTCAGCAAGTGAAGTATATGAAGAACTGGAAGTGGTATGTGGAAAAATAAGGAACAGTCAAAGCCAACAATTTTTTACATCAAAATTAGCTTTAATCATTGATGACCTTGATAAAAAAAAGATATACAGCAAAAATAATTTTATAGAAAAAGTTGATGATTTTTATAGTGTTTTCTTATCTTACGTAAAAAAACGGAGTTTTCATTTTGAACCGTTCAAAATTTTTCGATGGACTCAATTATTAGATATTCCTACTTGGGTAGACATTCAAGAAAGTATTCAATATTTATTTAAAAATAAAAAACTCAACCTGGATATGAACATGGACGAGGATAAGTTATTTGATGAATATAATCATGTAGTTCATGTGATACAAGTTAAAATTGTAGAATGGAGAAATTGTTCAAAAAAAGTAACAGAAAAATGGTGTGAAGTATTTAAAATACTAGAAAAAAATCAAATTTCTATCAACAACTTATCAACAATTATTGAATACTCATTGGCTATTCCTGGGACAAATGCATCTGTAGAAAGAATTTTTTCAATAACAAATGTATTGTGGACGGATGAAAAAAACCGGTTTAAAGTCGAAACCATCAGATCAATAATTATTGCAAAACAGCACTTTAAAAGCTTAACTTGTTCACAATTTTATGAATTTCTTTTGAAGCACCCAAAATTGTTGAATTCAATAAGTTCTTCAGAAAAATACGAAAAAATAGTAGAAAGTGTGGAAGAAGGATTATCAAATTCATGAATAATGAAAAAGCTGATGTTGTAAATTTCCTAATTCTTGTTAAAAAAAAATGTAACAGTATTGGTCAATCAGCTTACTGTTTTATATATACAGATTGGCATAGATAATAAATTACCGGTGATTGTTCTCTATGTTATCACATTACTTCTCAATTTCTCAATTTCATAAACCTTTTTTGTTTTTTTTTTTTTAAATTAAAATATTCAATGTTATTTGTTTATAATATTTATTATTTATATTTGAATTTATTTATTATTAATAAATAAACATTAGTACCCATTTGTTTAATAATCTTATAAAATAAAGAATAATTTGTTAAGATTATAATCATTTAAATTTGTTTAACTGCTCCATCATAATCTCCTTTAGTTTTAACTATCCCATTTGTAATTTGTGAAAAGTCAGCTATAACTTGTTTTCTACTATGTTTCTAGGGTTGAAATAGTCATTCGTCATTTTTGACAGAAATACTGGACGCATACGATGAATTTAAAATATTGAAGAGTAAAATGACTAATCACAAGTTAGTAATACATTCAATCAGATAAATATTCAATCGTCAATGCGTGGGCTAGAATGATGACTATACGAGTGACATCCGTGAGAACGGAGATATCGCATATGTAGGCAAGGTGTACGGGGAACCTCATATATAAGGGAGCCCGAATCGGCCTGTATTCAGACGTGTACTACCATCCACTAGTGCAAGCACCTTCACGCCACTCTGTATAACATTATTTGGACTTGGTAAAATATCGAACGTTAAAAAAAATTCACAATATAATACATCTGTCTTATCATTCAATATCTACCACGACTACAACATCAAATAAAGTGTCTGCGACCTGCAATTATAATAACTTGGTTGCCACTTATCTACTGTCAGTACTACGATATTAGGTACCAAGCATCCAAGCTTATTACAACAGTATAAACAGAAAAAAAATACCTAAAATAAAAACACCAAATTTTTCTTTTTATCATTCATTTTTAGTACGCCCCCTACATTCATAATACTTTAGACGCCCTAGGGCACTTGCCCCATTTGCCCCCCCCCCCTTGGGACGGCTATGTCTGACCCCCACATCACCCCTCTTGTATATACGCCCTGATGACTACATTATCTCGTTAAAATGAATAAATAAATTGTAAAACTAATTTTTATTTTACAAGATTTATAATATTTTATTGTATAATATATTGTAAATCCTAATCTCAATGGACTTAGCTGCCTGGGTTGAATAAAATACAAAATAACATACAAAATTTTTGTTCTATACATTGTTATGTTATCGTAATATATAGGTGTCCGTCGCGACTAGCGACTTTTGACCGCCGGCTGTAATTGTAATTATTTGTTATACAGAAATAGGCCGACGTCGCGACGATAACGACGATCACCAATACAAGGAAATACCTATGATATAATGGCGCGCATACCTGCACTTACCACAGTAAAATTATAGTACAATACACAATAACATACACTATAATAAAATTATCCAATACTTACAATTAATTTGCTGTAGGTAGTATTGCATACGAATTACAAGTTAACAACTACAATTGTTTATGCGATGTTGTGAGTTGGTATAAATTCTGGATATTGAAATGTAGCCGAAATAATGACGCAAGTCAAAATGAAATCAGATATCCAATTTTTTTTTTACTAAATGTTTAGAGGGATATAACAAATAGTTTGAGAAGTTCACAAATTTAAAATAAATATAATTTGCATTCAAACAAAATCATGTTAAAATAAGTAGTTCTGACTTCTGATTTTTAATTTTGTTAACCTATAGATATATAAATATTGCATTACCAATATTAGAACAAACTACAAAGTATATATTATATTTACATTAGCAGATATTTTAGATTCTGAGTGGAACGATGAATGTATTGATTTTACAATGATGTGTGTTTTTTTATTTTTTTTGTCTGTGTACACGATAAGTAGTCGAAATAATGCTTCGATTTTCGACTTCAGTATCTTGTTCGATTGGAAAGTGAATATCGTTGATGCATTGGGGAGGTCAAAATTTAAAATTCCCAGTACTTTTCAAAAGCGCCAAGAAAAACAAAAGAAAAATTAAGGAAAAACGGGAATTTTTACTCAAAATCGATTTTTCAGAAAATTGAATTTGGTTTTTGGTGTAACTTTAAAAAAAATGACCGTAGATACATGAAATGTTCACTGGTTGTTTATATTTGAATTTTCTACACACGATAACATTTTCAAAATATTTTGATTTATTTTGAACTGTTTAGGGACATTTTCATTTTTCATTTTTTTTTTTGTTTTTTTTTCTAGAAATATCAATAAAATTGTATTTGTTGGTTAAAAAAACTTGACAATTTAATAGTAGGCTCCTAGTATATTGTTTCAAAGGCAGATGAAAAATATTAAAAATCCTTAGTCACAGTTTTTTTTTATAAGCATTTAAAGTTCAAAAATTCACAAAATATCGAAAAATCACGAAAATTACCAAATTATTTTGAGTTAAGAATTCGTAAAAATTTTTCTTTTTAAATCTAAGATTTTAAAATTTAATACAAGATTACTCATAAGCAGGGCTCGAATTTGAAAAAAAAATTCCGTTTAACGTTATTTTCAATTAAAACGTTAAAGAATTTTCGCGTTTATCGTTATTAAGATTTAAAACGTTATACATGTTTTGAGTTTATCGTTATACAGAATGAAAACGTTATACATGTTATGCGTTTATCGTTATTGGTAACTTAAACGTTATTCAAATATTCTGTTTATCGTTATTGAAAATTAAAACGTTATTCAGTTTTACATTTACCTGAGTATTTCATACTATTGAAAATTAAAATATAATCTAGTATTACATTTTACAATTCTTATTTATAAACACATAACAACTGTTAAATCCACTATAATAAACTGTAAATTTAAATTTGTATGCAAGTAGTAAGTACTGCCAGTAGTCATTCTACAAATTCGCTAGATTAAACCGGTGTGAAAAATAATGCACCGGGATGTTTGGACCATATCGTTTACATGGTTCATTATCCCGGTGCGGGATAATGTGGGATAATTTTAAACTGGTCTAGTTTAGCGAATTTCTAGATTACAGTCATTACAGTAATACAGTCTGTAGTCTGTAGTCTGTCTGTACATTTATTATCTATGTAGATTTTCTATGATCACTGTTTAGATAGAAACAATATGTGGGATGTGGCAAAATCTTAAGTAGATAAGTGAGACAAATATTTTGCCATTTTTCAGTTATTTTATACAAATAAGTAGTAGATAACCATATATTTTTATAAAATTAATAATTTATAGCACTTTAAATTTTAAATCGCTTTGCAGTTAGGCTTAGAAGTTATTTATATTTTCTATAACTAACAGGGAAATACTAAATAGGCCATAGGGAATACAGCAAAATTACACATAACTTATAAAACTTAAGTTGTGTAACTTTTATTAAATTGGTTCATACACTACTTAGTTTTTACTTTTTACCATAAATGAAAGGAATATTAAATAATATTAATTAAGATTTAAGACAGTAACAGACGTCAGACTTGATAAAATACTGTGTATCTAAGTAGTTACCACTGTACAAAATAAATAAAATCCTATATAATGCACCTATGTTTATTCCTTATCAATAAAATATATCTATAAGTTATAACAAAGCTATCTGCCTTAAAAGTTAAAAGAATTTAGTTCTTAAAATTTGGTAGGTACTTTGTTGACTGTTTAAACATTTTATTGAATCTAAATTCTAAAGGCATATGAGTCTACTCTAATATAAAAAGTGCAATCTGAATTATCATTGTATTATAAATTAAAATAAGTCTACACTTTCAATTTAAGCTTAGCTTACTTGGAGTAGGTGAACCAGGTCTAAAAAAAAATTGACGATAACAGTAATAGGTTTACTTTTAATGGTTTGATAAATAATAATACTGTTTTGATAATCATATCAAGAATAAAGAAATTACTTTATAAATTAACATAATAAACTATTATATTGGCTAGTTTGTATTAGCATTTCCTCTAATGATTAAAATATTTTCCAAAATATCATGACCAATAGCATTTCTCAAGTCAGACAATATGAATTTCAATCCGGAGAAACTACGCTCCACGCTGACCTAAACAAAAATATTGAAATATATTTTTAGTTGATTATACTAACTAACATAAAAGCAAAATAGTATTATGCAGACATTATGAGTATTATGACAAATAATTAATAAGAAATAAATAATGAATGTGAAATTTAGTACCTGAGTAGCCGGTACCGCCATAAGAATTTGTGCTAATTGATATAGTTCAGGCATTTCATTTTTATTTTCCGACCAAAAGTTAACAATATCTTCTTTATAAGACAGTCTGTTTATATTTCCAAAGTCCTCTAGTTTAGAATTTAATATTGAATTAGACCCTTGAGAAGAATTTATTGTAGATATTGAGTTTTGACTGTTTTGAGAAGAATTTGTAGCACGAGTTCTAAGATAACCCTCAAAATCATCATCATCTTCATTGTTTGTGTCAGTAATATCATCTTCTGAATTATGCTGCTCTAATACGTTTGATTCTACTGTATTCTATGAAAACATAAGTCAATATAATATATCATAATATTTATCATGTACATCTATATCATAAGTCATCCAATAGAAAAAGTGGTGGATTAAATAACAATAAAAAAAAAATGGAACCAAACACTACCAAGAAACAATTGTAGCTTAATTATATCCAATAAAAATATTTTATTTAAGTGTAAGTGTGTAACTAACCTCTACGGACGTTAATGCATTTTTTAAATCCCATACTTTAAGTAGGTAATCTACAGCTTTCTTTTTATTTAAATCAGTTAATAAACACATATACCGTGGATCCAAATAAATTGCTGTAAATAAAATCAATAAGAAAAAAGAAAAATTTTAAAAATTATTTGCTAAAAAAAATTACCTGCAATAAATATATCATTCTCTAATAATTTAGATTCACGAGTTTCCATATTATTAAAAATAGCAATAGATAATGCTGAACCAATTCTATTAAGTTTTTGTTTGGTTTGAATCCACACACCATAAAAATCACCAAGAGTTAAATTACTTCTTTGAAGCTTTTTAGAAGCCATATATGCTGGTTGAAGAGTTTCAATCTAAACAAATTTTAATAAGTTAATATTACAGAAATGCATCATAATTTATTAAATAGAATAACATGTTTACCAAATTATTAAACCGTTGCCAATTAGTATCACTTATTTTTAAGTCATTATTAATTTGATGGTGATCATCACAAAACTTTTTCAGTTCATACAAACGAACTAACATCAAATATGTAGTATCCCACCTAGTTGCGTTATCTAGAACAGCCTGTTTTAAACAATCTTTTTTTAAAAGTGCAGCATATGACTGCGTGCGAAGAACTTTCACAACCTGCAATTTATAAAATGTTAACATATTAATATATTATATAGTATTGTACAAGGAGTATATCTAATCCAAAATAGTTAGATAATTAACATTTAAAAGTACTTGTTTGATAATGATTACATTTCTTAAATAATATATGAGGCATTTGAAAAGCCAAGACCCAAGACTCAAGAGGTGTATTTAGGCAACAAAGTAAACATTTGAAATTATAATTGATTTTATATTTTTATGACAAATTTTTAATATTACTTTATAGATTAAACCTACTTAAATATTGACTGGTAAAAGTTATTTCTATGGATTTTTATAACTAGCTTAGTTATTAAGTTGATTAGAAAATATTGTACATGCTAAATTTCTAACTAGTTAATTTTTTTTTTAATATTTGATAAGTAAAAAAAAAAATCAAGTTTTTAAGTTATAAGTTATATGTAGATTATGCCCACCTTTGAGTACGTATAAAGATATTTTGTATTTACAATTTTACATTTAAATTTGTATAGTCTATGAAATATAAATAATAAATATAATATAAATTACTTTTCTTGCTTTTGTTAAAAGTGACTTAATAACTTCTACTTTAAGTCCATTCTCAATGCACAACTGCAGTGTATGAGCCGAACAACGTACACACTGAGTTAATGGGTCTTGTTCATTATAGCTCATGGCTGCAACTATTTCATTTTGTAAATCATCAGCACTAAAATCACTGAAGTCTTCTCCTTCCAATAAAACGGTATTTAACTGACTTTCTGTCAAATAATCTGTATCTAATGAATATATTTTATGAAGATATTTCAATTTAATTAATAATGGTTTTTTTTTTTCTTAAGATTGAAATTATTACCTCCTGAGATAGGACTTTCTATTTCATCCGAGTCAGACCCAGAGCTTGCACCATCATCTTCATGTACCTCATCTGTATCGTTAAGGATACGTACCATTTTAACAATATTAGCACCATTATCACAAGTGATGGAAAAAACTTGGCGGTTGTCAATATTAAACTTTCTCAAAATATTTATTAACTAAAAATGAAATAAAATAAATAGATAAATAAGTGGACTTTGATAGACATATATTAGCTTATAAAATAAATTGACTCCACTATACTAATAATTAATAAATAATAATATTATCATCATTTTTTTTTTTCATAACTTTAAATAAAATTATTTACTCGCTTATTTATATGCTGTAGTAAATTTATAAGTGTTGGACTTACTACTTGTTTTAAATATTCTGATGTATGACGGTTAAAAAGTTCTGTCATTCCAATTGTTTTGGTATTTAATTTCTCATCTTTAAAATATTGAATATTTACTCCTATGATTGATCTATTCAATCTGGTTACGCAATCAACTTTTAGAGATATTAATTTTTTATCGATATCTGCTTTAATACTTTTTATAATACTTTCTGCGTGTTCATTTATGTGTTTTTTTATATTATGAGAGTTCATTCTAAAACCTATTAATGATAAATGGTACATAAAATTAAATTATTTTATTTTAAAGTAGGTATTGCTATGAATTATTCTCTTGCAATAATTGAGTTTAATAAATTAATAGGTGAAATAATTAATGAAAGTTGGCCAAATTCAGGATGAGAAATCTTCATCAATTAATTTCAATGTTATATATAAGTTAACATATAAAAATGTAAGTTGAATTAAAATTGAATAGCCAAAAAGTTGTTTTGACTTTTGACTGTTGATTATATTAAAGATATTTTATTTATTTCACATTTTCACCGTTCCATATATTATATAAAGGTACTTCACATAACAAAATATATTATGCCAATATGCAGGCACACCTTATAATTAAAAAAATGTTAAGGTTATTTAAAAACAATATTAAAAAATTGAAAAATAAATCAATAATTTAGAATACAACTGAATTTGGTAACTTACCATCACCGATAGCATTAAATATTGGATTCATGATCATTTTAAAGCCAGAATCATCAAGTAACTGAAATGGTCGACCATTGGTAGTAACCAATTGCACACAAGCATCAACTACTGTTTTTTTATCTAGTCTAACATTTGTTAATGTTTTTTTAGATATGATTATCATTTTATCAAGAGGCCCAGTTTTTTCTATTTTTTGTCTCTGTAAAATAATATAAGTAATCCATTTTAATACATTTATTCAGTGTTTACTGTTTACATAATATTATAATTTAAAGATATGAGTGTATGACCATTTATAATTTATATCAATCAAATATATATTAAATCTGATTTTGTATTAAAAAATACCTACATCAACTTACTAAATCTCAGTGGACTTTAACTACCTAAGTAGTTAATTTTAAGAGTGACTTTTTCGTTTTTACTCAAAGTTTTCAAAATATAATAACACCTATTCGGCTATTAACGTATTTTGTTAAAAATTGGTGAAATATTTTTTTTTTTAATATTGGAACTCAAGAATATGTCATGTCTAAACATTCTCAACACTATATAGCTCTTATTTAAATTGAAAAAAATAAATTGTACAACTACAGATGGCCGATGGGCTATTACATAATAACAATAGTACCTACCAGCTACCTAGTACCTAACTACAGGCTTTAATACCAAATATAAATACTAACCTTATTTGTAGTTGAACCATTTTCAGTAGGATATGTAGAATTGTTTTTTTCTTTTTCTCTTAAAAGAATACCATACTCCTCTTTATGATACTGTTTTATGTGATTTTCTAAATTTCCCGAATGATTACCTGTTCTCACAGGATTCTTACAATTTGGAACTTTACAGGTACTTTCGTTTGTATTTAAATTATATTGAAAGAACATACGACCAACTGGGTTGGATTTCGTTCTTGGCATTTTGCAAATCGATAATCGATTATTGAGTATAATATTGACGCGTAAAAAGTAAAAACTAAAACCACTTACACTTAACCTTACACTCGCGACACGCGAGTCGTGAAACAGTAAATATATGAAATAAACCAAAACACTAAACAGCAAATTAAAATCACGCACACCGTTTCGCGTCGAGCGTCGGAATCAATATAATATTGTAGATATATACTTGTCTATGGTAGATACTAGTCACTAGATAATAAATTTATCAATAAATAAAAATAACTTTGCTCCACGTGGAATAACATGGGGAATTTTAGTATTTTACTCATAATTTTAGTAAGTTGTTGATACTATTTTTGTTCTATGAAATATGAATTATAATTTTAACTATTATTCCGATTAGTTCCTAAAATATACCAACACGGCAACACAATATAACCATTAACCGGACACAAATTTAAAATTAAATAAAAACCATGGAATGCCATTAGAGATTTGTGGAATTATTTCTGAAATCGTCTATAAATAATAAATATCAATGTTCATTATATTATAATATTATTATAACATAATACGTAAGTGATAATTTATTATGAAAACGTTATAATATAACGTTATTATAAAACGTTATATTTATTGTTATATAACGTTTTATTTTCGCTTACTGTTTTACTATTTTTTTCGTTTTCCTGTTTCGTTCCGTTTTATGTTTTACTAAAACTGTCGTTCTTTGCATCGTTTTGTTTAGTGATAATTTAATATTACCGTTTACTGTTTACCGTTTTGTTTTCTGTTATCTTTTTCAATCGTTTTTTGACAAGTATAACGTTATAATTATAACGTTATATAAACGTTTTCGAGCCCTGCCAGTACCTACATATAATTGTAAATGGCCGGAGTACCCAGTAACCAGCACACATTTGCAAGAGGCACAAAACCCCATGCCAAACTGGGACACTTATAAAATAAAAATATTGAATGGTAACAAAACATATGGTAAGAATTTAATATTTTTATTAAAATTATAATTATTGAAAAAATTTCATAAAATTCTGTTTTTTTTTGTCCATTTTTTCAGTTTGGTAAACTTACTAAATAAGCCTAAAAATTTAAATGAAGAGAACTTTACTCTTCTCAATATTTTCTGTAGCATGCTGCATACCAGCATAATATTTTGAATATCATTATAACATAATTTTGTTACAGGACATCATTACCTACCTAATAAAAAAATATAAAAATTTTCAAAAAAATGTTAAGCCTCATAAAGTAACACATAACTTATAACTTATAAGTATTTAATAGGTACATTAAAATATGTACTAAAACCACTTACAACGTTGCTATGAAAAGCATAATAAATTTTTTTTTATAAGCAGATAAAGATCGAATTTTGACAAAATTTATCAAAATTAATCGAAAATTATCAATCATTGTAATTAATAAATTATAAAATGTTCAGTTTTTATAGCTAAGGATTACAAATTTAAAACAAAGATTCCCATAAATAGTTCATACAATCATACTGTAACCAAAAAATCTAAAAAATATATGAACACAGTTATTTTTTACAGACATTTTAAATTCAAATTTGGACGAAATTACATAATAAAAAACCTAGAATCACTATTTTAGTTATTTTGTTGTGATTGTATAATATTATTCGTGGGTACCTACTTGAAACTTCTAAAGTATACTTCTATATATCTATGATAGTAGCAGGGTTTGTTGTTGGTGTATAACGCGTTATAAGTACCTAATGGATATTGTGATATGATTAATTTGGAATTCCTTATAGGTCAATTTTTTTTAATACCATAGATAAGTATATAATATGTCTTATACCTAGAAGGACATACTGTTTCTGCTCAGAATCGTTATTCTTATACAATGATATAATATCATTGAATTCAAATGTAATACCATCCATTATACAGTGACCCACTTGTAACCTACTATACAGCAGAGCGACATCCACTTGCTCACCTTTTTAACATTGTTACCAGAAAATTATAATTTATTATTTTATTAATATTTAATATGGGTATAAATGCTATTCTATATACCTAACACCTAGGTATTTTATATAATTAAGTTGTAAATTTGAACTGAAGAAGTTAATAAGCTAAAAACAAAAATAATTAACTAATTAAGTTAAAAAGTTAATAAAAACTATTCTGCCAACCCTACTATATTTTAGAACATTAAATATCAGCAGGTACCTTATTAGGAAATATTTTATATTGGCAGATCACAGATACTAAGAAGGCAGATAATATGATATTGATAATACTATTAATTATTATTAACACAAAAGTTAAGTCTAAATATACATGTTTTGACTTAAAAATTGTAAATTTTGATAGTTTAGTTTAATTTAAATTATTTATTAATTGTAATATGAATAATTAAATATTCATATGCCATAAAATATACTAACTACTATAATGTCTAATACAGAACAAAAGATAATAGGTATATATTATCATATTTTAGATTTTTTGTTAATTATTGTTGTTATTAGAAAGAATTAGATTTAACAAGTAGGTATACAACATTAGTACCTACCCAATACAAATCGTATTTACTAATGTGTAATAGTAAAAAATAACAATGGCTCTAAGATTTAGCTATTTTACCATTTTTACCACCTTATTGGTAAATTTACCAATATTTTTTTTTACGTAAATTCTCCATCTCTACCTAGTATACTTAAGTTAATGGTTTTTTAAGCAAATGTAACTATAGGTAGGTATTATCGTATAGACTATAGACATATTAGATGAAACTTAATACTATAACTATACTTGTCCTGATAAATGTTAATGTACTTACATACATTTTATGTGTTTAATGTTTTTATACAATAAACAAATACAAAGAATTTAAGCTTGAATAACACTTAATTACATAAATGATATGAAATTAATTGAATTTGTTTTGATTGGTTGAATAAGAACCCACCTACGTCCCATCTTACTTCAACCATAGACCACGATGGGAAAAAAATATTTTTTGTTTGGAAAAATGTACGTGTAATTATCAGGGCTTGCAAAAGTTATAATAACGTTATGATTATAACGTTATATTTGGGCAAATAACGATTGAAATTTTTAAACTTAATTATAACGGAAAGTGATACCTAATAAAAAATAATTAAATACCTCAAAACAAAGCATAACGAATAACAAAATATATTATATATTATACCATTAAACAAAAAATATCGCAAAACGTACCTAATACATAGAATATAATTTAATAAAAATTATCGCAAAACGTAATTTATAGAATAGGTATCATTAAACGAAAATTAATGCAAAATAAAATTATTTGAAAATTTAAAATCCATTTATTTAAAAGTAAGGTACTTATATTGGTTTAATAGAAATATATTTTATTTCATGATATTTATGTTTGTCTTAGAAAAAAAATCTAAGAATTGATTATATTATATTCCGTATTCAAGACATTTACCTACCCGCATTTTTATAGTAATTGATAACTTTTAAATTGAATTGCCAATAGCAAATACCTAGTATAATAATAATATTAATTGTTATTAATAATGATTAATTATGCCCCGATAATTGTTCTGTAGTATCCAGTATAGACTTATTTTGTATTCACTGTGTACTTTGTCTAATATAGCCAAACTACTCTAATAGTAGCCTGTACTACTGCGGTCCTCTTGTGAATGTTAGTATACTGTTGTTTTATTTATATTAGCAACATATTAAAAGAAATAACTCAATCATGGGTAGAAAAATGTCTAACCCAGTACTGAAAATGCAAAGGTGGGGCATTCACTTGTGAAAAAGTTAGTTTTTTTCAACTTTTTAAATTAATTGGTTAATTATTTTTGTTTTTAGCTTATTAGTTATTAACTTCTTCAGTTCAAATTTACAACTTAATTATATAAAATAGCTAGGTGTTAGGTATAGAGAATAGCATTTATACCCATATTAAATATTAATAAAATAATAAATTATAATTTTCTGGTAACAATGTTAAAAAGGTGAGCAAGTGGATGTCGCTCTGCTGTATAGTAGGTTACAAGTGGGTCACTGTATAATGGATGGTATTACATTTGAATTCAATGATATTATATCATTGTATAAGAATAACGATTCTGAGCAGAAACAGTATGTCCTTCTAGGTATAAGACATATTATATACTTATCTATGGTATTAAAAAAAATTGACCTATAAGGAATTCCAAATTAATCATATCACAATATCCATTAGGTACTTATAACGCGTTATACACCAACAACAAACCCTGCTACTATCATAATATATATATAGTAGTATACTTTAGAAGTTTCAAGGACCCACGAATAATATTATACAATCACAACAAAATAACTAAAATAGTTATTCTAGGTTTTTTATTATGTAATTTCGTCCAAATTTGAATTTAAAATGTCTGTAAAAAATAACTGTGTTCATATATTTTTTAGATTTTTTGGTTACAGTGTGAACTATTTATGGGAACCTTTGTTTTAAATTTGTAATCCTTAGCTATAAAAACTGAACATTTTATAATTTATTAATTACAACGATTGATAATTTTCGATTAATTTTGATAAATTTTGTCAAAATTCGATCTTTAAATGCTTATAAAAAAAAATTGTGATATGTCTTTTAAAATTGTTCACCTGCCTTGTATTAAAATTTTACACTTTTTGGCAAAACAGATAAAACTTTATTGATATTTATAGAAAAAAAAACTAAAAAAATTGTAAACTGAAAATGTCCGTAAACAGCTCAAAAAGAGTCTAAATATTTTCAAAATTGTATGGTGTATAGGAAATGTTAATATAAACATTCAGTGAAATTTTCATGTATCTACAGTTATTCGTTTTTGAATTACAACCAAATAAGGAAATCTTTACATGAGAAATCAAATGAATATCCAATGTTGTAAAAATTTGAATTTCAAACGCTCATAAAAATTTAATTTGACTTTCCGGTAGAGATTTTTTTATTGATAAAGGTAGACAAACTTATGAGTA